TTCAAATAAATAATCGATTGAAGTATAACTCATAATTCTATGATTTCTCTCAGATGCTTCAGTTCTGTCATGAATATATCCATCAAATACGACATTAACGTTGGTGTCATAGTTATTATGTCAATATCTGATGTATTGTTGTTAGACTGATCAATATACAAATTTTTATTTTCACAAAGCTGTGCAAAACTGAATTTTTCATCTCAATGTCATGCATATTGTGTAAATATAAATAATTATGTTCCAATTCAAAATGTTTCTGGTTTCAAATAATATATTGAAATGAAAATTCGAAAAAATCATGAAAATGTGGAAGAATTTCCGAAAATTGATTATTTTATGTGCTGCTTGTTGCAACTAACTTATAACCCACCTAAAATGGTGATTTTTCAAACTGATACGCTCTCTACCAATTACATTTTAGACTATGAAATTTTTTATTTCTATTTGAAATCTCTTTTCATTTTTTCTATTTGGTGCAATCGGATCAGTTCATTTCTTCTTTATAATGAATTTTAGAATTCGGTTTCAGTACAATTCTAGTTTTCTAATTCGAAGAAGTTTTGTTCCATTTCGATTGAAAATGGTTTCACATAGGTACAACATAAAAGACTACTTGACTAATCAAAATTTCCATGTTTTCGTCAATAGGAAATATTCATAACTTTGCCTCTTAGTCGCAAATATATCATTTCGATAGTCATACTTCAGGGTTTCATGAAAAATAAAACAAATAACAAAAGTTTCAGTCGCCAAAAGATGTGATAAAATCAATGTATGAACGCATTAAAGAAAAACAATCAACTCACACAGATATTATGGTATTCTTTTGATGATTTCTTTTCCTTCCCTATGATTTCCATCTCTGAAGTCATTTATCAAACGAGTAATTTATCAACTAATCGAGAAACTGCGGTATCGTATTAATCTGCTTTGGCACTTTCTCGAGAAATTATGTTTTTTGCCGTAATCAGCAACGCTAACGGTCGTTCAAATACTTTTTATGAATACATTATAATCCCATTAAAATGGTGGCGATTCGGAGTGCAATAATTCAACAAATATTTTTAACAGTAACAGCCCAAGGGCACTGAAAATTTCAATACAATTTTCGAAAGCGCTTTTCATTGTGATTTTATAGGTAACAGTTAACTAAAGAAAATATACAAAACAAGGTTTCCATCACATTATATCAGGAAATTTTCTAGTGAAATTTTCCACTGATTTCAACTGAGTGATTTATGCAAAGATATGTATATTCAGGCACTTGAACACTCAAAAAAAATTGATAATAAACATAATGTTTCACTGAAACAAATCGAAATATGTTGATAATTTCACAAAATATAGTAGTTGCTTCATCAACGTTGGTAAGGAATAAGCAGTCAGTAATTCCAGTGAAAAGTGAAGAGACATCGAAGGCAATGTCGAAGTCATAATATAATTTTCAAAGTACAGATTACCATGTTGAAGTACAGAGTTAGAATTATATGATTTTTATATGTACAGTGACAAGGAAAACATCTGGGGGTAGAACTCGTTAANTATGTTCTGAAAACATATATTATTAAAAATGGTGGCCCTCCACTTATTGGACGGAATGGATTGAATATGCTCAATCTGGGAATATGTAAAATGCAGTTTGTTGAATCTAAATTGGATATTTCACAGAATAATGTGGTTGCAATTCCAAAAAATATTTCTAGGTTACTAACAAAATATCATGAGATTTTTGAAAATAAGTTGGGCACATTCAACAAATTTAAAATTGATTTAACTTTAAAGGAAGGGACCATTCCGAAATTTTGTAAGGCTTGCCCTGTACCATTTGCTTCGAAATCAAAAATTGAGAAAGAAATAGATAGGTTAGTGAACAATAAGGTTTCAGTTCCTACAAAATTTTCCAAATGGGCTCCACCCATCGAATCGGTTCTCAAATCAAATGGTGATCTGAGATTGTGTGGTGATTTCAAAATAACTTCAAACCCACATTTGAACGTACAGCATTTTCCTCTGCCACGGATCGAATACTTGTTTTCACAATTGTACGGAGGTGAACAATTTTCAAAAATTGACTTGTCTGAATCATATCAGCAAGTAGTACTAGCCGAAAATCCTCGGAAATTAGTTACGATAACAACTCATAAAGGAAATTATTTTTACACACGCCTTCCATACGGAATTACTAGTGCACCTTTTATTTTCCAAAATATTGTTGAACAAATGTTTCAAAATATGCCGGGAGTCGTCTGCTTCCTAGATGATATTCTCGTAACAGGAAAAAATGATAACGAGCATTTCGAACGGTTAAAACAAGTATTTCAACGGTTGAAAGATTGTGGTCTGAAAGTAAAAAAAGAAAAATGCTTTTTCTTTCAAAAATCAGTAACATATTTGGGTCACGTAATTAGTAAAAAAGGACTTTGTACATCTGACGAAAGAGTTATCACAATAAAAAATATGTCACTTCCCACAAGTGTTAGTGAGTTAAAGTCATATCTTGGTATGTTGAATTTTCATTGCCAATTTCGGCCAAATATTTCTGAAGTACTCAAACCTTTGTATTCACTGCTTTGTATTCACTGCATATTAACATAGCGTTACTATGCAGTAACATAGCGTTACTGCATAGTAACGCTATGTTACAGCAGTAACATAGCGTTCGAAAAATCAAAATACCTGTTAATAACAGCTCCCGATTTCAGCCCATTTTGATCCTGAGAGAACAGTCAAATTAGTTGTGGATGCGTCACAATTTGCCTTGGGTGCATCAATCAGCCACATCTATGAAAATAATGAAGAAAGGCCTTCGCATCACGGTTGGGAAAAAAAAGTTTTTTCTATTTTTGCAGCTAATCGTCTCCAAAGATGGGCTCACATTTTCTCATAATTTGATTACGAAATCAGGTATGTCAAATCAGCAAATAATTCAGCGGATTTTTTGTCAACACTGCCAATTAATTCTCATAAACAAGATGATAACCTTTCATTTATTTCTTATTTAATTTATTTAGATGAATCTTATTTTAAATTGTATTTCAAAAAAATTAAGCAAGCTACAGCTGTTGATACTACTCTGAATANGGCACATGATTCTCGGACCCAATGATCACTTACCCCACGGTGTGGGGAGTGGTCATTGGTTGATTATGCTGGCGCGCCCTCCCGAATGTATCGGGGCTTCGGGGGATAGGGCCTGACCAGCGCACACTACGGTGAAAAATAATAATAATAATAATAATAATAATGGTCATCGGAACTGTCGGGGAAGAACAAAGTTCCCATCTTACTCTACTCGTTTGGAGTAGTGTATGCGCTGATCAGGCCCCATCCCCCTAAGCCCTGATACATTCGGCAGGGCGCGCCAGCATTATCAACCAACGACCATTATCCACACCGTGGGATAAGTGATCATTGTGTCCGGGAATCATGTGCCCTGAGCAAGCGCAGTGAGCCAAGAACGACAGCCTTTTGCATGTGTTCGGCTAAGATTTCTGCCTTAGTGCGGCAAGCCGATATGATTTAAAGATTCGAGAGTAGAAAGAGCATCCACCAAGGACTCCAATAATCAGAACAGCCATCTTGACAGAGTGGTCTAGTCTAGATAGAGTCTGTGGAGTTCGAAGAGAAATTATCGATATTTTATACGTTTTTCCTTTTCTTGTCGAACGATATTCGTCTCGCCAGGAGCTGAAAACTTCACGACAAATATCGTCTTGCTCTGAGGGTCGATAAGGACTACATCAGGCTTAAAAGCTTCTATGAGCCTGAGGGTGGAAAACGAATAGTTGTAATAAATTCGGCACTTTTCGTTCTCCACAACAGATTCAATATTCCACGGGCATGAGCCTTTTGCTGAACGGGTTTCAACTCGGTAACAGAGTTGTGATCACATCGTAAGGTGTCGAGAACTGAACCGAGTTATCAGCTGCCCTAAAGAGCTGCCCTAAAGAGAAATGCTCCAATTTCTGCTCTCTCAGGGTCGCGGACCATGCAGGGGAAGGAGATCCAAATTCCTGACGACTTTACAGGCTACAGCCAGACGATTTGAGATGTGATTATCCCATAGAGATGCACCATTTTTTGGGTCCTTACATCGAGTTGATACGACTCCTCCGGAGTGCGCTTCACTATTCCAAATGAGTAGAGTAAGATTCGAACGGCAAGTATATTTGTTGCAGCAACTTTTTTCTTCCCCGACAGTTCCGATGACCAGATCTGTCGGAGTTTGCGCTGATACTGGCCGCGGAGAGAGTTCATATATGTTTCTACGGCATCCGAATGTTGTAGGATGCTTTCATCTACGATCTGCACATCCTCTCCATAGTCCTCTTTTGAGATGGACCATTGCACATTTGTCTATCCCGAATTTCATACCGATAGCATTCGTGTATCATTCAACCATTCTTAAGGACTGATGGAGATTCTTCTCTCCAAAGGCATAAAATTTAAGATCATCCATGTAACAAATGGTACCTTGTACCTCTGGTTTCCGTGAATGCTTCTGGAAATTTTGTTTGACCATTTTATTGTTCGTCAAATCTGTTACGATTTAGAATATAGAAAGGACCTGTATATTTGGAAATGGCATTATGAATATTGAAGCTTATGGACATCAGTTCAAAAAATGATCTTTCGGTTTGAGTCAGAAGATATTTTTACATTAATTACATTATCCGTCTCCTAACATTGATAAGTTATTTACAAATAAATCTTCCTCTTGAATATTTCCGTCCACTAATGATAACTGTATAAGAATCCCAGATGTGGCATGGAAACTTTGTTTCATAATAAATAGATACTGATTCAGTTCAATATATTGAAACTGCTATAATTAGTTGCACTGATCATTATTTTAAGAAGAACCCATAAAAGAAACTGAAAATAATTTGTTCTCTTGAGAAATTTACCTTCTACCAATCAGTTGATTTTTCTATGTCATGAGATTATATCTTAGCCAATTAGATAGTTATTTATGATATGTATCAATTAGGCACATGGAATGTCTAAATTTATAATATTCAATTTATCATCCATGAATATATTCTTCACATATCGAATGCCAATGACACTCAGAGAAAGCCTTACAAAAAAAACACTGAAAATATTCATTAGTTTACAGGCATCCGTGACAATGAAACATTTTTCTGGACGTATCGTTACTCCACTCTCAATACGCCATCAATCTTCACCATAGAAACTCCAATGCAGCAGTCTCTTTCAAAATCAAAGTGCCATTAGCTGAAAAAACAATTGAAACCAATCATAAAGACGTTAATGGTCGGTTTTTTGTCTTGATTTACGTTACTCCTAATGGCTGTAGCTGTCGCACTAATTGAATACTGTTTTTGTTACTCCAAATTAGCATTTCGAACAGTGTCGGGGAGATAAATTGACTGGGAACTGCGGAAGGCAGAGTTGGACCTGAAATGTTTGTGTGTGCTTACATTGCATTTATCGAGTTATTTATAAATTTTCTACCGTCACCTTCGCCTTGAACTAGGAACTGTCCTCATCACAGTTTTCGATAGACATACTTCATTACGTCAACTTAGTGTCAAATTTGACAATACGTCATTGCGAAAAATACAGAAAATGCATGAATCGGGACATCTGCTTTCGTTATTTTCCAAGATCTTGTAACGTTTCCTTACTCATTTCTGGATATTCAGCATTATAAGTGCTGGAAATAGTTACCATTTGGATGACATCTACAGAAGTTTTTAGAAATACAGTACCCCTTTTCCACGCCTGTCACTCTGTCACTGGCCAACTTAGTTGCAGTGTGATAGCAGACACTTCAAGAATATCAATGAAACAAAGAATGCGGTTTACTTGGAAGTTTTAATAGGGTTTTGCATCCCCAACCTTGAAATGAATGAATTGACAAAAATACTGAACCGATATTGAATATAATGGTCACTATATGAAGAAATCAAAGTGTCTAAACTTTTCTACTCTGTGATGGCCGTAATAGGAATAATAACAAAATACAGGGTCTCACCCTAGGAATGCACTAAACCTCACAACTTCTGATCGAAATCCTATGTCCAGTAACCATTAAAGAAACTCAAAAGCTGTTGTTTTACATTCCTCCAAATAGACCCCTGATTTTTCAGGTTCGGTTTTCAGGTTCGTGTAGCCAGTCACGTTCAAGACGATTTCGTCTTTGTGTCCAGTTTATTCAATTAATTCATGTTTTTATGCTATTAGTGGTGTCTCATACTTTTATTGGTTCTTATGATTTTTATGATCGTATACTTTTGCGAGTTTACGATTCAACGATTTTAATGATTTAATGATGATTTTCCCTGCCAGAACTATAATAAAAAAAATGTAAAAATTCTACAATTGAAATTAACAACTTCAAAATATGATTTTCTATAATCTATAATATCTATAAATACCTCAAAAGATGGAATTTATTCTTATGACTGTTTTTCAAAATTTGACTCGAGTCACCATTAAGTGATCAATTATATATACGAAGCCAGGCACAAAAAGACCCTTTGAAAATGTCATCCTTCACACATAGAATCGGTATCGGTTCAAAGTTCAGACAATTCTACTACCTTTGTGCTCAGATCATCTCGCAAACAGTATACAAAGTGGAAAAATGGAATGTTACAATTTAGGATCTATGAGTACTTATTATTCGTTCAGCTACGGGAGGCGCAAGAGGACGCAGAGACGAGTCCTTCCTAGATATGACGGTTTCATCTTGAATATAAGTGCTAGACTAATGTATCACCTTGGGCTCACTTAGTGTTACTATTTGAACAAAAGCTCAATTTATGTATTTCCGTTAACCATATGTCTCCCCTGTATTTTCAGGTCTCTAAACTGCGAGCTGAGGATTAATAAGTTCTTACCTTTTACCGTGCTATTCCTGGCACTCAATCGATATGCATTGGAAATCAATCTTCCGGCCGTCGAACTTGAACTACCGTTCCATATACCGATCCGTATAGTAGATCGAACTACTTATGCTAACCAACTGAGAACCGTCCCTCCTCTTCAGTGATCCTCTTCAGCCTTACACCAAATTATTGAGCAGCTGTAACATACTTGTGATGCACTGTTTGAAACCTTTGGTGTAGAAATGAATATTACTGGAGTTTTTTTCCAACACCCAAATCGTTATTTTAAAACCCCGACACATATTTCGATCTTCCTCTTGAAGATGATCCAGTAATATTCAGATGTGAATAATTTAACAATTTGAATCATATGACCTTCTACATACTTGTTGACTGATGATTTTCACCGGAGTTTAGTAGCAGGGGAGCCCACGATGCAAAATGGGGATTTACTCGAGCGTCATTGAGACATAATATTAGGTTGCAAAGCTTAGATGATAAGAAGAAAAAAATGTTATATAATGTATACCTTTTCATCGGTGGGGGAAGCGGCTATAGATTTTTAAATATGTAAAAAAATACTGTTGCATTGACATAGTCGAGCGCATCAGATATTGATAGCATCAATGTCCTACGTATTTTAATGATGTTGGTATGTTAATCTGATCGTTTGCATGATGTAAATTGTCAGATTACTGGAATATACACTTTTTAGCAGGTAATTAACTCACCCTACCTTAATCTGACGCGCTCGAGAATTTCTGATGATCAATTTTTTTTACTAATCTGATCCTTCATCCCACACAGGCGGCCTTATATATGGGACTTATATTTGGTGGAGGTACTTAACCGGGTACAAGGTATCCCCCTGTTTATTAATCTGCCGCGCTTTAGTAAATCCCGAAATCCCCACTTGGGCTCCCCCTATTATAGGTATTGAATAACAACTCCAACATGATTTATCAAATCCTTAATCAAAAAACAGGCCATCAATCGAGTATATTCTCACATTGAAAATAATGTTTACATCTATAAAATACTCATATTCATATCGGAAAATCATCAGAAAAAATTGAAAGACTACTAACTGACCAGAACATCAATGAAGTATACAAGATAGGTATAGGTATATAGTAAAAACGTCAATAAATTTCAAAACAAGAATTTCAGAATACAAAAGAACAATTTTACTATTAATGTAAGTTACAAAAAGGATTTGAAGCTCTATGACTTCTATTCTTCTATTAAACTAAAAAAGACCAATTATAACTACGCTTGCCACCTTTCAGAAAACAACCACGATTTCGACATAAAAATATTACATAAAAAATGAAGGACAAAAATTGAACCCGCCGGATTCCCGTGAATTAGAACGCGAAAACAATCAAAGTTTTTATCAAACGATCAACAAGAAGTTGATAATCTTTGGAATTATTCGTCATTGTTGCCTATGCGTTAATGAAATGTATTATACCAATCCCACTTTGATTAACACAGTAACATCTAACTTCGATAATGAGTTTTAATAATCTTCTACTAACGAGGTACAACGACCAGACAAAAACGAATAAACAACCAGTCAAATTCATGAATTATTATCGATTGCATGCATGGAACATGAAATATTTGTAGAATATTGGGAAGTGTCTAATTTTCTGGATGCTGGCAAATATATAACAGTCATTATCCACCTATTGTTCAGATTTGTTTGGTAATTATTTTTTTCAAACCCATCTATTCATCTAGAACTACCATTATCGAATGAGTTCTGTTACTACTGGTACATTAATTAAACTATTGTAGACTACTTCAATATATCAGTTCGACTGAGGAAGCTACTGTGTAGCGAAACATGCTTTTAATAAAGTTATTAGAATAAAAATTGTTTTATTATTTTGGACGAATATAAATGGTTGGTTTGCTGAACTTGCAGAAAAAACCCAGATAGTCAGTTTTCATTGTTAACAGATTCAGACAAATTAATTGAATATTGATATCAATTAGACTGAGGATGTACTGGTGAATTTTTAAGAGTAACCTTGAATGGAACTTTGTACTGGAAACTGGAAAGATCACTGTCAGTCTTTTATATCCAAATCCAGTTTATAAATATTTCAAACGAAAAAGAAATGGTTACAGTTTACTATCCGAACTGCAAGTCTTCATGTACCGAAGGCTATCCTTAGACGTATGTTAGGTTTGAGTTATACTCATTCTTGCAAGAAATATTTCAAGAAGTTAGATATAAGTACTATCTCTATCTGGTTGAGAGTCCATGATGTGTTTCGAGTTGAAAAAACTAGAATACTCCAAATCATTTGGTTATCTAAATGTTTAGTAGCATGCCAAAGTCAATCAAAGACTGTAATAATACTAAGTACCTCAAAAAGATGTTGAAAGTTTATCCAAGTGATAAAGTATTTTATGATGTAGGTGAGTTTGATGAATATTCATAATTTTTCTTGACAGAATGTATCTAGCTGGAGTTGGAAAAATTCTGCAACGTTGTTACATGGCTACTGGACTTGCATAGTCATGATGGCTCAGGGAGATATTAACATTGCCTACCAGGAACAGGAAGCTAATGTTGAAAGTAGTCGATGCCATTGACACAAAAAAATAAACAAGAAAGGTAAGTGGTAGTGAAAAATGATTTATGGTATTTCCCAGCAGCTATAGAATTTTGGATCTTTAGCAGGGTTGTTAATTGAATAAATATCTTTGACTTCTATGATTTGGTAGATTGAAATTCAAAAGTCCCCAATAACGCTCAGCAAGGCTCAACAATTGTATTTATTAAAATCGTATCTATTATTAAACTTTGTTCTATGAAGGTATAAGAAAGAGTGATTTATTGGATCCTCTATTGAAAATTAACTTTCTTCACCAGAACAAAAATATTGTCTCTCGTCGTACGTTTCGCTTACCAAGTCAGCATTATCATCAGATATAAGATTTATTCTAAAGGCTATGTCAATGTTTTCATATACATCCGTACATAATGAGGGTCATTGAATCATTTTTGTATTGTTCTTGATGTTATTTCCTACTTGCATGATAGCCTATTTCCACCTTTAATAACTTAAAAGTGCAAACAAAGAGCTATTTGAAATGAAAACTTTATCATTGTTCATAGATCTCATTCCACGTTCTTCGATTTCAAAACTTTCGAAGGCATCTAAAACTTTATGTCATGTACCGATTCCAACAATTTCAAGCATTCATCACTTATTCTGTGGACGTTCTTTATGGCATGTTAAACAATAATGGACTTTTCTGGTCTATTAAAACGAATATGTGAGACATGTTCCTTGCAGCGCACTATTATAGTCCGTTTGAGTAGTCCAACATATTTTTTTAGCAATTCACACAGTTCCTTTCCTAAATCCTGAAATTTCTGTTTTTCCGTTGTTATATATGTCTCTAAATACCCTGTATAAAGGATTCCTAAAATAAAAACGTTACCTTTTTTATATTCGACTACTTATCTGGAATATGTCAAATTGTATGTTTGGAAGTCAGTAATGAATAAATCTCCAGTCAAACTACTTGGTAGTTTTCATTGTTGAGTTTATTAATTCACGTTGATTATTAAACAGAACATTGGCGACGAGGATTTCTCGTTTTCACGCAAAATTACTATTCACTGGGAATTGTGAGTAGTGCAATCAGATTATTGAAAATGACGGAAAACATTGTTGGACTTCTTGGATCTCTCAACATTTTTCATCATAAAACTTAAAATTTCTCGGTGTTGAAGGAAAGACTCGAACAGTTTTTTGTGGCTAATAAAATATCGGAGGAATGTCGCAAAAAAGCAATTATTTTAAATACGCTGTCTGAAGACGCATATGTGTTGGTTCGTAATTTATGTGTACCAAATATACCGGATACAGAAACTTACGAGGAACTCATTAAGTTGTTAACAGAGCATTTTTCACCTGTTAAATCATACTTCGCTGAACGGCTGAAATTTTATACGGCCAAACAAAACAAGGAAGAAAGTGTAGCAGAATGGGAAGCAAGAGTAAAAAGTTTAGCATCTACCTGCAAATTTGGAAATGAATTGGATATGGTGATTCAAATCCCTTTCCTTGATGTTTTAGTCATTAA